GCACAGTATGTGGTTTTACTGTAATTACATGCTTGAAAAGAATTTTCTCCCATCTGGTAACCACTTTGCATAAACTTACGCTAAAACCCGCTACATATGTATTTTTTCCCTTTTATTGTTTGTTTTATTATGTATGTTGTAGTCTATATATGGTGATTCAGTGATAGCAAGGTAAAGAGATAAATAAAGCATGCTAATAAATTTAAAAGTTAATAATATAAAATAATAAATAGTATTATGTACATATAATTAATATATAGAAATAATAAATAGTCTCAGTAGTAATAAAATAAGTAAAATACATATTAGACTGACCAGTGGTTAAACTATTGGGGTAGGTTGTGAGAGAGCAAGATTTACTTTTTGATTCTGCTTCAAATTCCTCAGGACTCTTAAGAACACACCTTTGTGTGGTATTGAGATCACTTCTAGGAGACATATAAAAGTCGAGATGCATCCTCCAAGCCAATCATCTTTACTCACTTCTTAGTCAATAGCAAGACATTTATCTCACTTGAAGAAAACCGTCCAACCATATACTGGATCTTTTGAAGTGCCTGAATTTTTCTGTTGACTTCAGAACATACACCATGAATTTATGTAAGATGTCTGGCTTTCCCCTTACAAGGTTTCTGTTACCTAAATCAATCTCTTCAGCTCCTTGTAGCATTATTGAGGTTCACTGCTTTGAGGTGCTCAGGTATTAGACTGAGAAGGACTATTAAAGATCTTGGAAAAGGGAGACACTTTCCATTATGTCATAGTTTGACACTACCAGCAGGGCAGGGAGGTTCTGGCTCCGGCAAAGGGTCAGTGAATTTTACTCTGGAATACCAGTAACATGGTGTTACTGGAGTGTTCCTCTTCCCACTCTCGGTTCTAAGTTTTCCATTTGTAACAAGTTTAATAAGCCCATCTGAAAGCACAATGTATTTTAAAACTGTTTTTAACAGATACTGAGTAACAGATGCTAACATCTGTGGTTCAGCAAGGTGCTGAGGAATATCAGGCAAATTCTTGCTAGAGCAGAGTTTATCACAACAGCCATGCATGTTCTCGTAGCTATGCATGAAAAAGCATTTTAGAAACAAGATGAGGACTACTCTGACAGGGGTAATCAGGGAAAGTACACCTTCCACATTTGCTACTTTCTGGCTGCACAAAGTGCTGCATGTTTGTAAGACAACAGCCTTGCGAGATGCTCCCCCTCTTTTGAAGACCAGCTTATTAGTTACTGTTACATGTTCTTGCAGGATTCCTCTGTTATCTTACAGCTCAAAGTAGAGCAGTCATCGAAGACAGTTCCCAAACCATCCTGGACAGCTGCTGCTGCTGGACAAACATCTTGTTGTACTTTGGGATGCTGGAACAAATCAGTAGGAGCTGGGTGCTGCCAAATTTTTCCAGAGACCAGGTTTTGGGGGAGGCAACTGCAAAGCAGGGGATGCCTATTTTACCCTTAACTCTAGATTGCTGATTGTCAGTTATTGAAGATCACATCTCTGTTGATATTTAGCACCCCTTTCCCATATTGGATAAGGCAAGTTTTCGTAGCCAATTTTGTTGCCTTCATCTGCATACATGAAAACATCTTTTGCTGAGTGCCTCATTTTAACTGGCAGGATATTTGGAAACCGAAATGATTTAGATGACAAAAATTCCCACTTGATAAGATTATATTTCACCTATTTTGGGTCTGATATTTAGGGCTGAGTTCTAATTCCACATTTATCAGCAGTGAGCTCATTGAAATCAGTGGAATTGTGGTAGCACAAAACCTTGAACAAGTGAGATCAGGATATTTGGATTTTCCCTGAGGATCAGAAGTGCCCTTAGGGGAAAAGCTTTCTGCCAGATTATAAAATAGTTCCTTATCTTTCACGTGATGAGCTCCTCCCACCTCCCTCCCACATCCCCGGTTGCTGTTCTTGGCTGAAGTGTGCGAAATAACAAGCGAGCTTAGCGTACTGGTGATGCTGGAAAGGCCTCTGAAGTACATTGCTAATATGAAGCATCTGTGTTGTATGCAATGTACAAAAAGACTAAGCGCTGTGTTCTCTTTTACTGTAAGGCCAGACTGGTGATCTGGAAGCACGACAGGACCATGAAGTGGGAGCAGCAAATTCCCATCTAAACTAGCACAGTTGTACGGTCTCCTTTTATCTGTTGTGATATGTAACCTGCACTGCTTACAGTGTAACACAAGGGCTACAGTCCTAGTCCCTGCAGTCCTAGAGAGTAGCCAAAAGAGAGTAACAAAGTACCGCATAGAACCGGGGTTGTGCATGCAGGATGTAACACCAAACACTGCACCGCAGCTTGATGCCCTAATACTTCACTGAGAACTTGAGATGCTTTTCTCTTGTCATGTCCTCATGTTCCTTGTGTAATCAAGGATATGGACAGATTAGAAAAACAAAGCCTAGTGATGTTCTCTGTTTACAAAGCTCTCGCTGTTAGTTGTTACTCTGATAAGGAGTGAGAGTCACTTATTAGTTAAGGGAACTCAGAACAGATTTCTTAGCATTAGCGCTTGAGGCATTAATGCAGGATGATCTACTGATGGGATGAACCTGCAGTTCCACAGAGCAACCGTCTCTCAGCGTGACAACATACACTCGAGCATATGACTGTGATGGTATTTGTTAGGCAGATTACATTTTAGAAAGAGGTAACTACAGGAGAAAGAAGTACTGAAATGGCTTGGAAACTGCAGCAAGTATGAAGCAGAATAACTGTACACGCATTGCACATTTTGCGTAAGCATGTGTTTATATATATGCAGGCTATACATAGACTCTAAAGGTCTTCTGGCATCCTCTTATTACAAGCAAAGTAACTTAAAAGGCCTTGAGGGCACACCAAGGTGATCTCTGTGCACGTATCGCTTGTTTTCATAAGTTAACAACTCTCATTTATCAGATACTGCCTCTCCAGCTGAGACAGACATGTCTGAGCACAGAGGTGGTGTTAGTCCCTTGCAATATGAAAGGGAATGGGCTCACCTAAAAGGCTGCTGAGCGCTTACCGAAGCACAGCAGCAGTTCTGACCCAGGGGTTACTGACCCCTTCTGTTGGTCGCACTTTGTCTAATGCGTGTCATGTTACTGCTGCAGGACGTGCCTATACAAGGGACATGTTGAAATTGGCAGCAAAATGGCCTGCAACTGGTTTTGCCAAGATTTTCCACTGTCTACATGAGACTTCGATAAAAATCAATCCTAAGGAGTTAAAAAATATGGATGAAACAAACAGCTAAATATTTGGAATGAAAACCCCCCACCCTTTCCATTTAAAATATTGGTTTTATATATAAAACCAAAATGTATTGGTTTTCAGACTAGACATAAGGAAGAAATTTTTTACAATGAGAGTGGTGAAACCCTGGCACAGGCTGCCCAGAGAGATAGTAGAAGCCCCATCCCTGGGAAAGTTCCAGGTCAGGTTGGACGAGGCTCTGAGCAGCCTGATCCAGCTAAAGGTGTCCCTGCTCGCTGCAGGGGGATTGGACTAGATGACCTTCAATGTTCCCTTCCAACCCAAACTATTATATAGTTTTACATGCACATATATATATATACACAGACACATATAATTTTGGAAGTGAACACAAAATACACTTAAGCTGGTTCATCATAAAGCAATTATTTGTAATGCTTCACCCTGTTTGCCTTATAGATGAGATTTTTACAGCAGAAGGCTAGAAAAAACACAGGCAAT